ACAAGCAAAACACAAGGAAGGAGGCATTTTATTCAAAGCATGAAAAGAAACTTCATTACAACTATTTCTTAACTGAACGAAATATTGTGAGATGGGTGACCAAGACGGTCATGCCAAACACGATAATCAACGCCTATTCCATTCGAAACATAAGCTGCTGAAACAGAACCATCTTTGACTACTCCTGTGGAATTAAACTCGTATAAGCCTCCAACCTCCTTTCCTCTCAATAAGACTGCACCAGAAACTTCATCTCTCACGACACAGCTATCGGCATGAAACTCCAAATATACTCGGTTGTCTCTAGCTAACTTTGACACCGAAACAAGGTTCTTTGTTATGCTTGGCACATGTAGCAAATCATTTAAACTCAAAGAACGAGAAGCAGTTTGTAACGAAGAACATACAATCTTACCAAGACCATTGTAGTCTGAACCATCAGTAATAGTAGTGTCATTGGCAGTGACATGGTTAGTGGCTCCAGAATCGACAAACCAAGTACTTGTCTCACCACGATTCTTTGAAACATTAGAACCTCCTTGTCCATGACTAGTAGCATTTCAAAAAAAAAGAACAACTTGATGCAAACACCCACAAGGATGAGAATCTGAATAGAGACAAACATTGGCGGAAGAAGATGAAGTACGCACTCGATCATTGTTTCCTTGAGCAGAAACGCCAGGGAAACTTTTGTCGAACCAATACTAACATCGATCGACCAAATGTCCCATTTTTCCACATAACTAACACTGAAGCTTGCTTCGACCTCGTCTATATCCGAAAAACTTGACCCAAACCCGATTATCCGAATCGATTTACCTAACTCAATACCCAATATTAACCCGAATATGATAATCAAATTTGATCTGATACCCTATTCAAAATTTAGCGAAACTGAAATCAACCATAACTAAAATTAACCCGAACCAAAAGCAACCTGAACCGAAATTAAACCGAACCGAAAACAACTTGAACCAAAATTAACCCGAATCGAAGGAAATCTGAATCGAATTTTACCCCGATCTAAAAGCAACCCAAACCGAATTTAACCCGACCCGAAAGCAACCTGAACATATTGAAATTGATAAAAGCTACTAAACTATAAAAGTTATTTTTAATAATAAATTAATTTAAATAAAATTGATAATTTGTTAAAATGTTAGATTTATAATAAAATAATAGAAAATTTAAGAGAAATATAAAAGTAAGAATCTAATTGTAATATTAAAAACAATAATAAATAAAGTTTACTTATCTTATAAAAAAATATTAGATTTATAATAAAAATAATAGAAAACAACTAAAACAAAGGAAAAATATTAGATTTATAATAAAAATAATATAAAGTTTACTTATGTTATAACTAAAACTTAACAAATAAAATTATGTATTATTTTTTAAAATTTAATCAAAATATTAAATTTATACTTGGGAATAAAAATTTTAATGAAAAATTATTTTTTTTATAAAAAATCACATTATAAACTTTTCATACAATATCAATATAATATTTTGATAACAAATTCTAACACGTATTATAGAATCGTATTTGTGTCAAACTATCGATTGACCATCTCCAAATAATGGTTTAATTCAAAAAATTGAACGATTGAGAACCAAAATTAAACATAAATGATAAAATTAACAAATAAGAAGACATATTTTTACAAGTATATATCAATTATTCTATATATATACTTGATTTTTATTAGACTCATAACTAATTCAACCCGAATTGATTTGATTTAAATGTTAACCTAAACTGAAAAATCAGTCGATCCCATATTGATCCGACCCGAAATCTAACCGATCTGGTAACAATCGATCTAGTATTGACTTGACCTAATATTAATCCGATCCAAAAATCAATCGATCCGATATTTGATCCGAACCGGAAAACAACGGATCCAATAATCTCCCGACCCGATCCGATTCACCGAACATCCGAATTAGATCGAACCGATTCAAACAAATTAAATCGAATTTAATTTAGACCAAAATTACCATATCCAAACCCAATCCGTATGACCCGTTTGCCGCCTCTAACCACAGATACGACCTTCATTAAAGTTCTGAACGCGACTCGGTTGCGAAACCAAACCATGGTCTCTATTATCCCCGTGATTAGATTCTGACGATTTTAGAGACATACTAGCAAGATTGGCACTCATATGCACAGCATCAGTGTGCTCAAAGCTTTTCTGCTGAATTTCAGCATCCACTAGAACAGAGATAACACCTTCTGCGGTTAAATGGCTCACGACTGGCAGTGATGACAGCGATGAAAGGCCAATATTCTGAAGGTAAGCCGTTGAGGATGGTAGCTATTCGTTCAAACTCTAAGATGGGACTGCCGCACGCTGCTAGGGCATCACAAATTTTTTTTTACTTGAGAGATGTAAGGTCTCATTCCAAGCTTCCCTTTCTTGACCATTTTGAGTTTATAATGAAGGTTCATTAGTGTTGTCGTGGACTTGCTTGCAAAGAATATGGTCATGGTTTGCCAAACTTCAGCAGCAGTTTCGACACCAACAAAGTGCGGAAGTAAATATGAACTGATGGTGGAAAGAAGCCAGGACGCCAATGCACTGTCCTGAGCCATATAGACCTCATAGTCTTCATTTTCAACAGCCAGTCCATCAGCTCCAATAACAGTAGCAGCCGGTGGTTGAAGAACTTCAATTAGAAGCTTTTCCAAGCGGTGGCTCCTTACTGCCAACAGAATTTACTGCTTCCACAGTAGGAAGTTAATCTCATCAAAGACAACACTTATCTTCTTATTGGTGAAGACCTTACCACTAAGATAATCGGACGATCCACCTGAACTGGAATCGCCAGAAGCAACTGCTCCACCAACCATAACAAGGAGCAAAGGAAAAATAAAAACTAAGCTGCCACAAATCCCCGAACGCCGGTGACTGATACCATATTAAGAGTACTAAAAATATATATGAGAATAGTAATTTTCATTCATAGCATGAGAGGAGTATGATTGGTTCTTTTATACAAGAGTACGTGATTCTAGAAAGCACTGTAACAAACTAACAAGCTGATGAGGGCTAACGTCACTTTGTGAATGACTCGTCATGTAGCTAGCTCTGTATTCTAGAATAGTCTCCACAAAATTTAAAAGCAGAAGAGGGGCAAAGCAGAGCCAAAAATATATGGGGATTCTGGAATGGTCAAATAAGACGGTGTTGTTGATTTGATATTTGGAGTAGCTGTTTTCATAAAGAATGTGAGCATCATGTTTTTTGGTATATGCTCCAATACTTGATTGTGTAGGTACCACTGCATGGAGTTTGGTGCATTCATTTCTGTTAATGGTGGTTATGTAAAACCATTTTGGTTCACGTGCCCCAACCCCAAGGTATAAATGCATAATGCTTCTTCATCAAAGTGAATAAAAATAACTCAGAGTATGATTAGAGTTCTAATATTTCCAAACTGCTCTAAACCATCTCAAAACGACATCATTTTAAAAAGACTATTCAGACCCAAAACAGTATCGTTTTAGACTTCAAATTTGATCTTGGACTTGCACCTGGCTCGTATCTACCGTCAGGATCCACAAATTTTCGAGCCTTTAAAGTAAATTTTATTTTCAGCCTCTCAACTCTGTATATATTGTAATTTGATCCATTTTTAATACAATTTAATTTCATTTTAGCTCTTTAATTTTGTTTTCTTTTAGTTTAGTCCTCTTTTACATATTATTGCCTTTGGACACTTGTAAGTCCTATTTTTTTTTTTGCAATTTAGTCCTAACATATTAATTAATTAGTCAATTTATTTAACTATTTTAGCATTGTTTGTTTACCTATTTATTTATTTTATGTATTATAGTAATATTTATTATAATAATTATAACTAATATTTTTAATGTTTCATTCATTTAAAAACAATCGAGGTAATATGTTCTTTTGAAGGTATCAATTTTGGATATCATGAGGGTGTTCTAGCCTTCTCCATACACAACTAAATCTTGAGCATGGTTTTGATTTTGTATTTAGACGAAAGCCTATTTTGAAGGTATTCAGTCATGCCTAACTCAAAACGATCGTTGGTGACTTTATCTCTTGATGAACATTTCACAGACTCAACAAATTCAAACCATCAAATAATGAGTTGGATAGTTTAATAACTCCGCTGAGAACATTTAAAGAGTCAGATCATAATTAAAGGAAAATATTGTCTTGAAAAAGGAATATGGCCCTGGAAGTAAAATGTTTCCGTAACCAATATTACGAAGGTTGTTTTACCATGGCTAATTGTAGTATTAACGCCCTTTGTGAACATATGTGCATGTCATTGAATTTTTTTTTTACCAGAATTATGTCCCAATTAAGTGGGAGCAAGAGGTTTTTTTACCCAATAGGGAAAATAGTTTTATTAATTAACTTAATAGGCCATATTGAAGTTTATTTTTGAATCTACGACATTTGATATAGTGTTGAAGAAACTCATCACATCGAGGTGACGAGTGCTATTAGAAATTATATTTCATTCGATCGATTAATATTTAATTATTTTTCAAGGGCACATCATGTTGAGGTGACAAGTTTCATTAAAATATTTTTTTTTTAATTTTGAGTGTTTTTTTAAAAAAGAAAAAATAATGGAACTCATCATCACAAGGTGACGAGTTTCTTTGGTTTAAAATAAATAGTGGTTTATAGCTGTTGGCAAACCAACGCCATGATTTTTTGAATTGATGAAACTCATCGTATGGAAGTGACGAGTTCAACGATTTTGGCAAAATTTTCATTATAAATAGGAGTGTGATGAGTTGATAGAGTGTAAATGAGATTGAAATCATGCATTTGTGGGAAAAATATTGCAAAAAAATTCTAAATGACATATTTGGGTCTGATTACTCAGGATCAATGATTCAGATTATAGCTCGTCTTCAGACGACGAGTGGGTAAAGGAGGCAATAAAGTTGATACTTGGTCAACGTAAGGAAAGATGAAACTTGAAGAAGTGATAAAGAGATGAAAATCAAGAAGAAAAAGAAGAAAAAGAAAAAGAAGTATGAAGATTTATCTTTCCGACGTAGAAAACGACTTATAGAGAGGAATTAAAAAATGAAAAATAATTGTGTAGAAATTAAGAAGAAGAAGACAAAAAGTTATTTTTATGTTGATTTTTTTTAAAAAAATTAATTATATGTATGAATTGGTGTTTAGTTAAAAGTTATTTATGTGTAGTTTGCAATTATGTATGAAAAGTTAAAAATCTAGATGGATAATGATGTTCATAAATTATCTAAAAAAAGGTACAACAAAAACATAAGAATAGAATTACGAAGGTTTTATCGGCTCGCTCGATATTTAGGAAGATGTGGACAATGCTTCTTGTTGTGGCCTTCACCTCTGCAGTGGTCACAAAGTTTTGGCAGACCTTGCTCTCGTTTGTGCACATTTGTCTGCCCAACTTTACCCAATCGAAAGTGGAACAGATGTGGAAGCTCATTATATGACTGATCCAAATCATCATACATTAGTGTCATCACATTCATTTTTGCCATCCACGACTTGTAGTAAGACAAAATATAACCAAATGTATTCCAGATGGATACAATTATCATTGAAAATAAGATCCTTGTATTTTTCTCGACCAAAAGATTCATATGAGCATATAAAATTATCTAAGTGTTTGTGGTCTTGTGTCAATGAGCTCAATGTACAACTATGTTGTCCATAGAACCTTGTGACCTCCATAACATCTTTTACTGTAAGTATGAAACATGTATCCTTCACTTACAACCGACATTGTGTTTTATACACCTGACAAAATATGTCTTTCGATCATACTCCACCACATAGAATACTATATGAGTTTGATACACAACTTTTGACTACTAGTTGGTCATCTTGGTTAGTTTCAAATTGGGACCCAACTGCTAACTTCGTTGATCCGTTGTTAAGGTACGCTAGTAGGCTGTACATATATCTGACATATCAGGAATCTCAGCATTCCTAATGACATGTAGTTTGTGTCATGCATTACAATTGGATAATGATAGTGAGGCATTTGGGTTGAGGAATTTGGGGTTAAAGGGGTGTTACTGAATGGGCTCATCCCCTTGAAGCATTTTGCAATTCATGACCCCGTGAAACCACTACCTCCTAGACATCACTCTCATCAAAACCTTGTCCCTTTGAAGTAGACTCAACGATATAAAAATTATCAATTATTAGTGTGTCATTGTCTACTATCATTGGAACAAAAGTTTCATCATCTCCGCTAAACTCAACAAGGCTTTCACTGATCAACCAACAAGGTTATCATTTGTTGATGGTCTTACTTCTTCAATGACGAACAAACCGCTGATGAGGTAGGAATATCTGTAATATTTTGTTTAAGCGTATATCTCGATCATTGATTATTGAAAATTGATGTAGTTCAACTATCACATGAACATCGTCATCATCCTAAAGCTACATCATTCCATATGTGAGTGGAGTCTCTAAATTATGTGTCGATAACTCAAACATGAAACAAAAGCTCCAGTTTTCTTTTAATTTCTACTTCATGCGGTGATGAACATCTATAGGGAACATCATGTTTACGAGCATTTGTGACGTAAACACAACACCATCATCAATTTGTACTATTTAACCATTTGAATGGACAACTATGAAAATTTTTGGTCATCGCTTGAGAAAAGTTTCTGGTGGTTCAATGAAGTTGTAAAAGTAGAAGTTTTGTGAAGATTCACATAACATAAGCAAATTTAAAAGAAAAATGCTATCATCATGAACATTCAATTCGCTAACAGAAACTTTTAGTCATTTATCACTTCATTTCAGAAAAGCATCTTTTCTCGTACACCATTTAATACACAAGACAAAAAAAATAGTACCCAATTACTTACTTCAGAAACTTTTCAGTGATATACTTTATTTCCAAAAACTTTTAAACAAGATATCTTCAATGACCATTTATAAACAATGACAAAAACTTTTGAATGTCCAATTACTTCACTTTAGAAACTTTTCAGTGAGATATCACTTCATTTCAGAAACTTTTCAGTGATATATCACTTTATTTAAGAAAAATCATTGTAATATCTCAAATATCAGACCAGAGACTATCAAGAAGATTTGAAAATTTAAGATTAAATTGAATAAGTGGTAAAATGAGAAAAAATGATTGGAAATAGTGCTTAGACTAATTTGTATCAATAGATAAGTTAAGAGGGCACTTTGGTCTTTTAAGAGGAAAATGAATTTAAAAATAGAATAGGGATTTTAAATAGAAGAAAGAGGAAAATAAGGCATTCCTACACTTCTTCTTATTCTTCTTCAGTTGGTGCTCTCCTCTCTAGCATAAGGTAAATTTCTATTAGCTAGTGTTTTCTTTAAAATATGGGTTGCTTTGGTAACATCAAGTGATATATACATAAGGATTAGATGAGATTAAAATGAGGAGATAATGGAAATAATGAGATTTTAGAAAATGGGTTTTGAAATGATATGTTAATATATAAGTGTTTATTGATGTTTAATGGTAGATTTAACTTGTTAAAGAGAATGAGAGATTAGAAACATTGGACGAATTTAAAACAAGATAGAAATTGTGGTGTGATTCTTAGAATCAAATGATCTTGAGGGATACTAGATGTTTTGAGTATCTAAATGAGGAAAAGTTAGTATGTATAAGTATGAAGAGTTTGGTAGCATTTTGGGAGGTAATCATAACGAAATTTGACCTCATTTGTGTAATAATCGGTTAAAAATTGAAAAATCTGGCACATGTATCGTACTGATAGAACATTACCGATACTATAGGCTAAAATGGGATAAATCAGCTGCATAGTATCGATAATGATTCAATCATATCGATACCGAAGGGAAGATATCGATACCATTTTAAAATAGAATGCAATAATGGTATCGATACCATGGGAAGGTATCGGTACCCTAGTATGGTAGTATCAATACCATGGTAGGGTATCGATACTGTGGAACCAGAAATTGTATGAAAGGCTAAGATTGTTGTGGAAAGTTAATAATTAATATTTTTGAGTAATGTTTAAGTATAATTGTTAGGAAATAAAACAATTGATATTATACATGTATCTAATGGATATGAATAGATTGAAATCAAGTTCCTGAGTCAAGTAAAGCAAAAGACAAAGGTCAAGTTCCGGAGTAGTTATTTATGCGTTTTAGATATCAAAGCAAGGCAAGCCAGGTGAGTACATTTATTGTATGTAATCTATTTAAAGACAATATGCAATAAGTCTAATTAGAATGTTTAAATTTTAAAGTATGTTTTACTGTAGTTATTAAGTTTATTTAATGTATGGATAGAATATGAATGAGTTTTAGAGTATGAACTGCTCTAGAATGAATGAATAAAAGATAATGCATATGGGTGCATTATTACATGAAAGATGCCATAGCTGAAATGTATATGGGTGCATTATCGACATAAAAGAATAATGCATATGGGTGCATTATTGGCATGAAAGGATGCCATAGCTGAATGCAGTTGAGTGCATTATCGACATAAAAGAATAATGCATATGGATGCATTATTGAAAGGATGTCAAAGCTGAAATGCATATGGTGCATTATCGACATAGAAGTATGCTATACTTGAAATGCATAATGGTGTATTATAAACATGAATGAATAGTTCAACTGAGAAGGATTATAAAATCCTTAAAGAATATACAATTCAACGCGAATTCAATAATATGACATACTTATGTATACATAAAGGTTACTTTACAATATATGACTCATTAAGTATTTACTTAAAGTGTGTTTTACACACGTAGGTAACAACAGTGAATAATCAAGTAAGGAGTGCAGCCGTAGCAGCAGATATCATCCACTAAGGTTGACTTATCAGTAACATTAGGACAATAGAAATCATTTTGGAAAATTTTTTGGCATGCAATTAAATTTAACAAAATATTTTGTAATATGTATTAATGAACACTTATCTATTATGTTCAATTATGTGGAATTAAGTTTGCAACAAATTTTAAAAGGCTTTTCAAAATGAGTAAACATATTTTAAAGCGATGTGACATTTGTATTTGTATATGGAAACGATACGGTATATGGTATTATATTTATTGGTATCAGAGCTAGGTTTTAACCGATTCTCGGCAAAACTAGTTCTATTTTAAAATAGAAAAGGATGACATGCCAATAAGGTTGTCAATGTTATATATATGGTGTCATTAGAGGGTGATTGATAACACCCTTATTAATTTGTATTGTTATTATTATGTATGTTTTAATAGATGTCAGAATCCTCAAACTCGCGAAGAGTGCGGGAACAAGAAATGAAAGAAGGAACATGAAGTGAAAGTTATGAGCATACTAGTGCACAACCCTTCTCTCAAAATGCAAGTGCACCTGCACCTCAAGGGATTTCGGTGCCTGAGTTTGGAACTTTCATGCAAGCCATTGATACCATACTGACTCGTTTTCAACCTCCCATTGCTCCTTCAGTACCTAGAATTTTGATCCCAAAAGAGCTGAAGAGTTGGGAGCTCTAGAGTTCCGAGGAGATAAGGGTGAGGGTCCTATGAAGGCGATATGTGGTTAAATATGTAATGTTAATGCTCAAAAGTATACATGCTCAGATCCAAAAAATTGGGAGGAGCTGTATCTTTACTCAGAGGATCAGCTCAAGTATGGTGGTCAACCCTACGAGTATGCACCACCGGAATAAGTTACCTGACAATTGTTTTGGAAGAATTCAAGAACAAGTATGTGGGTAAACAGTTCAACGGCAATATTGTTGAAGTTCCTTAATTTAAAGCAAAGTAATGAGTCGTACATGAATTTGAGGCTGAGTACTACAAGTTAAGCCATTTTTGCCACTGAAGTCATTCCAAATGACAAGGCAAGATGATTGGTTCATAGAGTGTTTTAGACCAAAGCGAAAAAAGATATGTTGGCCTTGAACTTGTCGAGTCTACAAGAATTCATAACAGAGTCAAAACTATTGAAAGAGCTCAGGAGAAAACATTACGGCGGAGTAGAGTGTTTAAAAGGGGAA